ATCTTTGATTGTAAAAACGTACCATGGCCCGATATGTAGATATTTTATTGTAACAACTGTACATGGCCTGATATGTGGATCTTTGATAGTAAAAATTGTACCATGGCCTGATATGTAGATCTTTGATTGTAAAAATTGTACCATGGCCCGATATGTAGATATTTTATTGTAACAACTGTACATGGCCTGATATGTGGATCTTTGATTGTAACAACTGTACATGGCCCGATATGTAGATATTTTATTGTAACAACTGTACATGGCCCGATATGTAGATATTTTATTGTAACAACTGTACATGGCCCGATACGTAGATATTTTATTGTAACAACTGTACATGGCCCGATATGTAGATATTTTATTGTAACAACTGTACATGGCCTGATATGTAGATATTTCACTCAATACAGCAGTTTTTTGCTGAATATGAATTAATTCTAGATAATTCTACGAAGCATGACTGAGTGAGATGATAATAAAATGGTGCAAAAAATCAAATCATTGACCTGATTTAAAGATCACAGTCACAGTGACAATCATTGTAGAGAAGAAAAAGTATTGGAAGGCATATAATTATGTGTGTGTTTCTTAATGTTTCGGATTTCATAAGTACGCTTGTTTGGCTTCTAATTAGTTTTGTTATTGCAATTTTATTTAGGAATGATATCTGACAACGAAACACAGAGTTAAACTAAAACAAACAAACAGAGAACAATCCTCAAACAGAAAAACATATACTGTATACTTATACAGAACTACACGAAGAAACTAAAACAAACAAACAGAGAACAATCCTCAAACAGAAAAACATATAATGTATACTTATACAGAATTACACGAAGAAACTAAAACAAACAAACAGAGAACAATCCTCAAACAGAAAACATATACTGTATACTTATACAGAACTACACGAAGAAACTAAAACAAACAAACAGAGAACAATCCTCAAACAGAAAAATATATAATGTATACTTATACAGAATTACACGAAGAAAAACGCAAGCTTTGGTACGTTAACATTGTTGTACAAGAAATCAACAACAGCCTCGACCATTAATATTTCTTTCATATTCCAGCAGGCTTGATAAGACCTGGTATTAGGCGAAAGGCCTCATCGGCACTCGATAGAGCAGATATAGCGTGGTTGAATATATTATTAGATTCCTCTTTGTTTCCACTGATAAATTCTTATAATTATAGTGGTTCTGTCATTCTTGCACACGCTTATTAGTAAGGATGGTGCACTGTAGTGATTTAATTCAATATGCTGCAGACGTTACTATATATATATATATATGCTGCAGACGTTACTATATGTATATGCTGCAGACGTTATTATATGTATATATGCTGCAGACGTTACTATATATACATATATATATGCTGCAGACGTTACTATATATACATATATATATGCTGCAGACGTTACTATATATATATATATATGTGCTGCAGACGTTACTATATGTATATATATATATGCTGCAGACGTTATTATATGTATATATATATATGCTGCAGACGTTACTATATGTATATCTATATGCTGCAGAAGTTACTATATATATGCTGCAGACGTTATTATATATATATGTATATATGCTGCAGACGTTACTATATGTATATCTATATGCTGCAGAAGTTACTATATATATGCTGCAGACGTTATTATATATATATGTATAATTGAAGCACAATCTATAACAATACGACCCCCTCCCAGTGGCAAAGCGATATGTATGCGGACTTACAACGGTACAAACCGGGTTTTCATACCCGTGGTCGGCAGAGCAGAGATAGCCAATTGAGTAGCTTTGTGCTTAATTTTAAACAAACAAACTATAACAATACTGCTCATGTGAATTTTTTTTAAAGTTACGTTTCCATTCATTTTGTTTTAGGCTGACTACCTGAATTATCAAGGTTTAAAGTTACAATCAACAAGTAGGACAGATACAAGAGTAAATAAAAAGGTAAGGCAGCTTAATTGATTGGGATGGGACTAATATTCAAGTTCACAAGTTTTGAGCCGTTCACGAAAAGAACAAAGTATTTTCGTTTGGGGGTGTAGTTGAAACTGTTCATACAAAACGTTTGCTCTTGCAAAAATACGTTTAGTTGGTACTGATCTGTTAGGAACGTGTAGTTTGGGATACAAGTCGCAAGAAGAAATTGTACAGATTATTTACAACGTGTAGAAAAAGAATATAATTAACTATTAAACATAGACGTATATATATAATAACTTTGAACAGTTGACAACAAGTAACATTTTAGAAGTTTAATTATTAATTTTTATGCCTAAAAAATAAGCGTTTCTAAATAAATGTACTGCGAGTTAAGGCGTGAAATTTCACACTTTGGCAGTTACATTATTAAAGAGCAGCTGTACTTCTTTGAATATAATTAAGTACGAGCCTTTAACAACTGTCATTAATTCATTTCTTGGTTACCTTAAATTCGTTGTTTTTCTTCAGCTATGTTTGACACTTTTTGGTTATCATAACAACATAAAAATTAAAATTCTTTATGTTTGTTAATTCTAATCTTTGACTTAGTAAGGTTAATTATAGCTGACACTTTCTTTGTCAATATTTGGTCAAAGGTTTCAAGTTCTTATCTGATCAGCAGCAGTGTAAGAGTAGATAGGACCATGATCTATGAGATTCGATCTGTTCTACTATTACACATAATGCTTCACCTACAAAATGAAATTATTTGGATATATTTCTTTCGCAGATAATTAGGCGCTGTTAAATCATCATTTAATTTGTTCATGTGAAATCACCGTAAAATGGGTTATTTGTTCATGTGAAATCACCGTAAAATGGGTTATTTGTTCATGTGAAATCACCATAAAATGGGTTATTTGTTCATGTGAAATCACCATAAACTGGGTAACTTGTTCATGTGAAATCAC